TTAGAACTAGCATTTACAAAACCAGAAAGATCTGAATTAGAAACCCAGTTCTCTCTCTCTCTCTCTCACACACACACACACACACATACATACACACATACACATTGTGATTCATATACACTCTCAAAAGGAGCCCAATTCTCCTGAAAACAAAAACTTTGAGAGCATGGAAGCCAGCCACACATTGAAAATATCTCCTGTACATGTATCTTAAATTCATTGGGAGGTGTTCTTGACTGGATGCCCACATGCTTGCATAGTGTTCATAGARTTTTTGCTTCTAGGAGATTCCATTACTCTCAAAAGATGGTTATTGTGTACTAATCATGAAGTCTTTGTAGAGCTTTTTGTTTTTGTCTGTTTTCTCCTCCCCCTAATGGGGTGGGAGAAAACTTCTTTATTTGAGTTGATTTTCAAACCAATTCCTTTCATTGAAAATGTTCTTTATCCTTCCTCTTTTGTCCACATTGTAAGTTTGTAACTACAAACTAAAAGCCCAATTTCCTAAGAACCCTTGATYTGTACATTCTCTTTCTCTCTCTCTCTTGGTTGTTGGTGTTAGATGAAATAAATTATGAAAATAACCAAAGTTCTTGATAGTCTATCTCCCTCACCTTACATTGTCAAGGAAACAACTGTTAAGTTTAGAGTTGTTTTTTGTGTTTTTACCAATGTATTCTCTGACTTGTTTGTTTGAACTTCCAATTTGAAAATAATAAACAAATAGTATATTGTTGTTTGAGTCTCCACTACATTTTTATAACTATATTGTTCACAACAAAAAATGAATCAGTCGTTTGTGCTATTACAGCTCTGTYATTTTAACTCAAGCTACAACGTTTATTCAGTTTGGTAATCTTCTAAGGATTACTGGTTTATCTATGACATTTTTTGTTCAATAGTAATGGTTTTTAATTATCTTTAGCTTTATGTCATGATCATCAATGGTTTATCTATGACATTGAAAGGAGTTTGATCATTCCTTTTTTTTCTCTCTCCCTCCAATCAATTTGCAGTTCTTAGTTCATTGAGAATTGCATCATTATGTAGTATTAGTAGGGAAGAAGAAAGCATTTTTATCATTGCCAAAGAAATTCATTATTAGAGGAAAAAGATTCATCAGCTTTTTACTGACTATATATTTATATGGTAAAAAGTTGGAAAAAGGGCCATTATTCAATGTTGGTTCCAGTCGTTGGGTCTAAACTTTCCACATTTTCATACAAAGTGGCTTGAACTTGAAGCCCATTCTCACACTTGTCAGTTCAAGATTTTACTATGAAATTTGCAACAAAAACCATGATGGGCTGACGTGGCCAATCAAACTGCGTCCATCAAAGGATCCTGAATTGCCAAGTCATCCTTCCCATATGCCAACTTTGATTTCGCTTTCCAACTCAATCATCCCTTTCAAAAAGAGAAAAATAAAACTCCCATAAGAAATAGAGAGTTAAAAAGGATAAGAAAGAAACAAGGACGAGTTGAAAGTTGAGAGCTGGAGAGTGAAAACGAAGGGACGATACCGGCGCCATCCTTCGCAATAAAGCACAGAAACATGAGACCGGTGCTGTGGAGGTACTACAACCGGAGACTGGCAATTGCCGGTTCCCAATTCTCATCAGAGTCTCTTCCAGCATTAACTGGAGTGCAGCAGCCGGTCACCTTCGGTCAGTTGCTATACACAAAAGATATAAGTTTTAATATTATTTTATTTTCATAAAACTGATAAGAACCCAGGACACCCTCCACTCTCACTCTCTGTTTCCGAAAATTTAAAATTCTATCCAGAGACGAGTTTCAGGGCAAAAGAGCTGACTCCCCAGAAGATTAGGGTTTCTCCTCTGTGGCGTCTTCGCTTCCATTTGGTGTTTCAGGCAAGTTAGGGGTTCTGTTGTTTGKTCTATTTTGCCTTTTTGTTTGTTATTAAGCATTTTTGTTTTGCTTATGAAATCTTTGGTTAGCACAATCACAACATGGATTTTAGTGTGTGCTTGGAACTTGGGATTGTCCTGCTTTGATTGTTTTCTGCTATTAATATAGAATAATTTGCAGTAAGATTGAATCTTGGATGTTCTTGAGGTTCGTGTTGAGTGGGTCGCTGGTGCTTCTGTGAAAACCCTAAATTCGTGCTGGGTAAGCTCGTAAGCTAGGGTTAGTCGTCTGGAGAAATGTTTATTGAGGAGAGAACGTGTAATGGTGACAGTATGGATTGCTCCCTAGTGGCTCTTTGTGCGGATGGTGCTGCCTTGAATGGGTATGCATTTGGATTTGGAGGTGATAATACTGATGGGAATTTGGGGGTCTCTTCTGCTGAGGAGCTTCGTACTTACAAGCGGCGTAAGCAGTCGAGGCTGAGTTCAGAGAGTAGCCTTCAAGAAGATGGGAGAGGTTCTGAAGGAGCAGCAGGTCAATTACCAGGCCAGGTTCGCACTTTTTCCTTTGTCGTCATTTTTTTTCCTGAGCTGATAAGTTAGTTTAAATTGTTGTTTTTGTAGGACTACTGTTTTGAGTAGTTTCTGTCTTTTTTTTTTTGTTTGAAATGCTTGGAGTTAAGCTGGTAAATATAAGATTTCAAAGCTCATAACAGTATTTGACCCTTACATCCTTTAAAATTAAATTTGTAACGAAACGAGGTAGATTTATAAAACAACTTAGGATGCTTTTGACCACAGGGGGAAGCAATCCCTTGTTAAGAATAACACAGTGGACATATAATCTGCTGCTTCAGTTGGAGGAGGAATAGGTTATGAAGTGCGCACTATCTGCTAAACAGCATTTTGTCCCACCAATATAGTGGAAACATTCATCTAGGAAAACCTTTTTTCCATTAATCAAGATGAGAAGGCACTCACTTGGGGGCGTCTATCATTTTCCTACTCTTGAACTTCTCCACATAAAGATGACAAATTTAAGCCAGAAATTACAATTTACAATTTTATTGAATAAGAATTCAGGCATTCATACTCTCAATAAATTTTTAATCCAGTTTTGCTAGCTGGTAGTTGCTACATGTTTCAAGATCCATAGAGTGCTTATTTGCAGATCTTTGATGAGATGATGCTATGTCATAGTAAATAGTAAGTGAAAATTGTTCCATAGAATTTTTGTATTATGATTATTACTTTTTGGCTGGAACTAGGTATAAGTTACATGGATTATATGCATATGATGGTTTTTTTTTTCCTTCTTCTGAGAAGAAAGGTAAGATATTGTATTACTCAAAGTAAAATCTGCAAAACAAGGAATTATGCAGTGGCCCGTGTCTTTTCTATACATTTCTATCTTGTGTGCATAGATACAAAAAGAGAGCTGTACTAAAAAAAGAACAAAAAAAAAAAAGAACTATAAAGTCTGTTCCTATACTGTTTGTGTATTCCTTGCCCAAAAATACAGTTTACCCCAAAATTCTTTCATCAGGGTTGCTTCCGAGCTATGTTTGTCTTCAAACAGCCTTTTATTTCTTTCCGTCCAGATAATCCACACCACTGTTGCAGGCCCTACTCCTACTCCCCATATCACCTTCTTTAGATAAACTTTTCAGCTGTCAACTCCATAATAAGGCAGCCAGATTTTTTAGGAAACAAATCTGAACTTCAAATAGACCTAGTAGTCTTGTCCATAAACTTCTATCCAATCTGCAATGAATAAGATGATCCAGATCATGGGAAGCTTCTCTGCACATTACAATCTGCTGGGTTCCACCCTCATTCCTTATCTTGCCAAAACATCTGCTGTTAAAAACTTCCCTAAAGTTGCAACCCACATAAAAAAAGGCAACTTTAGGAGGGACTACAGTATTCCACACTCTGGCCTCTGGAGGAAGGCTTTCCAATTCCCCTACATTCTCATTTAGTCTAATGTAGAAATGTAGAATTATCTGATTGAAAATAATCCTGACTTTTCCAGCAACCATATCCCTTTATCTCTTCTTGACTGATTAGGTGTGAAGTTGCTGATCATTTGCATTAATTCCATTCGCTYCCCTACCTCCCAGTCGTTTAGATTTCTTCTAAAAATGGGACACCACTCACCTGACTTTAGCAGTCAAACAGTCCTTAATCTCAGACAGTGTAGGGAAGGGCACTTTAAGGGGTTGATCTCCATACCATGTATGATGCCAAAATTTTATCCTTGTATCATATCCCTCTACATACTTGATCCCCTTTCTGAATTCACTTGGAGATTTATGAATACCCCTTCACATTGCACACCTATAAGACAAGTTGGTCTATGCTGGCTCYTAAATCATATTGCTGTCTCCATACTTTGCCATAATCGTTCTTCTCCAAAGGCTTGGGTTGGCCATTCCATCTCCGATGCCATTTCCTGGGCAGACCATATTAAACTCTTAAATTCCTAACTCCCAAGCCTCCTGCTTTTCTAGGTCTGCAAAATTTACTCCATTTGACTAGGTGCAGCTTGGACTCTTCCTTCCAACCTTCCCTTAAGAGGTTTCTCATTTTTCTTTCAATGATCTTGGCTCTTGGCTGTGCTTGCTGGAATTGGAAACAGTGATAACAGTTGGTAGGGAGGATAACACACTTTTAATTAGGGTCAGTTTTACTCCTTTTGGTAAGTATTTTTCCTTCCAAGATGCCAGCCATTTGTCAATTCGCTCCACCACTGTCTCCCTGTCTTCCAAACCATCTTTGAAGTACATTTCTCTCCTTAAGGCATCCCCAAATACCTTGTAGGCRGTTCACCTATTTTGCACCTCACATGGTCTGCCAACTGCCTAACATCAACCTCCTTTCCCACAGCCAGCAGTTCACTTTTATGTAGACTTATTCTTAGGCCTGAAACTACTTCAAACCAAATGAGAATTATGTGAATGGTCTCATATATAATGTTCCTGTGATGCTTTTACAAAAAAATAAGGTGATGTTTGCATATTGTAGTAAGCCACCTGTTTCCTCTGAAACTCTCCAAGAGACCACCTTCGATCACCCTATTAATTATTCTACTCAGAGGCCAGAGCCCCTGTTCATATGAACAGAAAGGGAAACAGTGGGTTTCCTTGCCTAACACCCCTAATGATGATATGGATACATGTGAAAACTGCATATGGTGGTATTTGTACCATGGCTTGTGTATGTCAAACTTAATAAAGAGATGCAATATAACTTAATGATCATCCTATAATTTGGGAGAGGAGCCAAGGAGCCAGGGTTGTTCATCCTGTAATGATCATCCTATAATTTACTCCTCCAATTGGGTTCCCATTCTATCAAGATTGGAGCCCCCCCCTCCCCCAAACATCCTGTTGGTGGCTTTCTATTGGTCCTGGCCATTCTGTAGGTTTCATAAGTTAAGTTCATTGGTGGTAGAGCTATAGAGGAGTAAATTCAGCATCCTGATTTTAAAGTTTTGATATCCCTAATTCACGGGCTGGCTTCATGCTTGGCCCATGAACATTTTTCACTGCTTTGGGTAGGACCCATTCAAACTTTGGAAAAAGCTAAGCCAAACCTGGCCTGGGCCGCCTGGTCATGAGCAGATCTATCCCTAATGAGGAAAGTGATAAGTAGGACTTCACTGGCCTTTTTGTACCATGATGAGGATATCAAAGTGGCCTTTTCTGGATGGATAGGAATTGGTAGTTTCATATGAGCAAACCTATGAACCATAGCTTGAAGTTGGCTACTTTGAGACCTGGGAGGTGATTGTTGAAGGGGACTCACAATATTATTTTCTGGTAAGGGTGAATCCTTGGAAAGTTAGACACCAGATCAGGGAAGCAAGGCATTTATCACTTGGTTTGGATGCATATTTTCTATTGCTACCTAGATCTGCTAACTCAGTGGCTGATTTATTAGCCTGTGGAGGAGTTAGTAGACAGGTTTTGGTGTTTGTGATGATTGCTTTCTGTATTAAGAGATGAACATATAGCTATTGTAAAAATAGGGTACTGTAAGGAGCAATGGGGAGAAAGTGAGGGACTGGTATTGAATATATAATAGTTGTAAAATGCATGCTATATATTTTCTGATACCATTAATGAAGCATCAATGGCTACTGATAAAAAAGAATGATAGATACTTTGTTGTTGGCACTTGGATTTTGGTGAGATTACTACAAAGTATATGTCTTATATCATGGAGCAAGTTGGACTATGCCTTTGAAGTTTAATAGCCATTTACGTTTTAACATTTATGGTTCATTGGTATTATGTGCCATAATAACAAAATCTATAGAAGTTTTTTTTGTGGTTCATTTCTATATCTTTGTAGGCTACTAATGTTTCTTTAGAGAAATATGTAATGAAATTGTCATGATTCTTTTTTGTATATCTTTATCCTTCAACTTCTTGTTGTGCTTCATTATTTGTTCTTAGGCTGCGTTTGGAATCAGTGTAAAACGTCATCAATGTACTTTCGGTGTAAAAGTACACCGATGACGTTTTACGCTGAACCGTGAAAGTGACCATTGCTTTTTGAAAAACGCGATGGGTGAAGAGTGTAAAGTTTTATATCGATAAAATTGATGTAGTATTTACATCGATAATCGATGTAAAATTTACGTTTGATAGGTTTTACATCAATTATCGACGTAAAATTCCACTCCATCCAAACATACGCAAAACTGAACTGGAGTGGAGTTTTACGTCGATCACACTCTCCTTCCAAACATGGACAAAATCGAACCGGTTTAAACTTTTACACCGTTCTTGATTTACACCGATTCCAAACGCAGCCTTAATGAATCCATCTTCTGAGTTGCTGATAAAAAATGTCATGATTTATATTTCTATATTGAAACAGATAATTGTGATCCTAACTGTGGTTTTGACTTGTCACTTGGTATTGTGTAATGGCTCTGAACAAATTCAGGTTGTCACATGGAACTGTCATGATCAGTTAGAAGTTTTGTGAGAGTGGCTATAATATGAATTGGACAAGTATGGGTCACAAAACTTCAGAAGACAGGACAAAAGCACAATCCAATGTATGGTTTAATAGTTTTTCCTTGGGACATGGTAAAGGTAATTGTAATACTATTGTCAAGAAAGTTTGAACCTTGAAGTGTGTAAGTTATGCTCCAATAAATCAGGTTACTGTACAATGGGATCCAGCATCAGGTATCCTACAACAGAAAGAGAAAAGTTAGTTATTAAGGACAACCGAGAAGAGGCCATGCCAACTAGGCTACCAGTTTCTGGAGGACAGCTTTATTTTGATTATGACACACCTTACGTCCTATAGGTGTAACCCCCTCCTGATCAAATTGTCCTTTATGAGGCATTTTCCAAGAGTGATAGGCCAAACCAAGAATTAGATCTTTGAGGGACCTCTAAACAACTTTATGAGGGAAAGTAGTGTTCCTAGCCATTCTCAGATTTGTAGCATAAGATTTGACTGAAAAACTCCCACTTTGTTCCCATTTTCTGATTGTTCTATCTTCTTTATCTTCAATTATGCTGTAT